TTATCTATCCATGCATCCTGGGCTAACTAGAAATCACAAATAGGATCGAGAAATAATAAATACAATCCTTGTTCAACTAGAAATTACGAATAAAGTGACTTTTTTCCGAGTTTGTTCAAACCTTACTTGTGATATGTTATTCCTTTTTTTTGTTAATCTACTGTATGATATTTTCCCATGAAAAAAAACTTATACACATAAAAAATTTATACACATGGTTTTTAATTTCAATGTGTTCTCTCATGTTTATAATCGTCAGAGGATTCTACATTTATATATATTGTTCAAAAGAACATAAAACTATCAATAAATCGATAACTTAATTGAATAGACTGGTCTAATTAACAATTTATTTTATGATCACAATCATATAAGCTATAAAAAATGAAAAAATCTATAGAACTAAGGTTATGAATAACTTCCTAACCCGAGTTCTAGAACTGGATTCTGGATACTCGCTCAAATAAACTTAACATTAATACCCAAACCATCTTGAGAAACACATCAAACATTGGTTGCATTGGATGCAACCCGTTGTGTACACCGTCTTAAAACTGGATATGAGCTACTAGTACACGAATCTGGTAACTGATATGCCTACCTGATAGAAGAATCAATGCATTAGAGGAGATACCCAAGCTGGACCAGGTCCTGTAGGATTTTTATGATTGTTCAAACTAACAGGGATGAATGGCATTTTGATCCCCTCCGTTTCAATTTTCGAATTTAATTTGGAGGAAGGAAGCTATCTTTACTTATCTGAAAAACTGAATGTAACCCATTACCTACATATCTCAAAAACTGGTAACTGAGATGTGTAGGCAATGGGTTGCATCCAGTTTTTTGAGATATGTAGGTACGTAATGGGTTACATTCAGTTTTTCAGCTAGGTAAAAAAAAAGAAAAAAAAAACTTTTCTTTTCTTTTCTTTTTTGTGCTGAGATTTTGGTTTATGGGTTTGATTGGAGTCCATAAGAATTAATCAAGTGAGGTCTCTTAAGAAAATTTGGTGAAAATTAGAGATGTAGATGGTCGTTTATGTGGAGGTGGCACTACCGGTAGTAATAAATCATAAAAGATTCTACCTTGAGCTCTGATCTGAGAGATGATACATTGACGATCCTGGCTCCTGAGCTTGAAAGCTTAAGCAGAGGAAGAAGAGCTTCAATCACTCTCTTGCAACCGTAATAGTTGGTGTCGATGCACGTAACTCCACCATCATAGGTCTGCTTAACACATTCTTGAATTATATCCACCGCCTGTCCTGATAACTGCACACCAATCAAACCCATAAACCAAAATCTCAGCACAAAAAAGAAAAGAGAAAAAAAAGACTAAAAAAAAAAAGCATAGATAACAATAAATTCTGCATGTGTATTTTTTTACGAAACATATTCATCTATATCCAGTTGGTTTTCTGACAAAAAATTGTTCCTTAGACGTCTGGAAAAAAACATTTGCACTTCAGAACATGACGGTGCCAAGGAATTTTATCATGTGAAATCTCTACAATTAGACATTTATTTTTAAAGCATCTATAACTTTTTCGGATGAGAGGGGGGGAAAAGAAGCTTTTGAAAGTTAAAAAGAGAAGATAGGGGGTAAAACTAAGTTGTTAATATTGGTTACGTACTGGAAAATTTGATATTCTACATTAGGATAAACTACAAGTTACCTTCTTCTTCTATATTCTATATTTTAAAAAAAAACCTCATTTAAAAAGTTCAACAAAAATCTCCTTACGTATGATCACAGTGGCAGTGTTAGTTCAAGTGTTCATATGGAAATTTTAGGTCAATGATTTGAAAAAAAAAAAAAGGTTATAATTTAGGCAAATCAAAGTACAAACTTTTTCTCTATTTTCATCTTTTCCACTCTCAAAAGCTGTGAGATTCGGATTAACTAACGGTCCATCAATGGTCAAAATTACTTTTTTCGAAATTAAAGATAAAAAAGCTAGCATTTTTTTTTAACCCAAACTTGGGGATCAATGTTGAGATCCCTGAGCTTCTCCTCATCGACAACAAGCCCGGAGGCTCCAGCGTTGTTGACCAAGATATCGAGCTTCCCGAATCGACCCTCGACGAACCGGGCCAGGGTTTCGACGCTGGAGGGGTCTCGGACGTCGAGCTGGTGGGAGACGACGTTTTCGAGGCCGAAGTCTCGGCGTAGAGACTCGGCGGCCGCGACGCCGAGGGCGGGGTCGCGTGCGGCGAGGACGACGGAGACGCCGCGCTGCGCGAGGTGGCGGACGGTGAGGCCGATGCCCTTGTTGGCTCCCGTCACCACCGCGTACAGTGGAGACTGTGGTTTGATGACGGTAGTCTCCATTTCTTCTCTCTCTCTCTTTTTTGGAAAGTGGGAGGAAAGAGAGAGAGAATGAGTTCGGTATTATGTGAGCGTATATAATGAGCGCACGTTAGTTATAAAAGATCGATTATATGCGAAAACGATAATATAAAGTAGAAAAACACTACGCGCTTTAAAAATATCAGGTGAGGCCTCCTACACTACAGAGGGAGAGGGGGTGCGATCGGAGGTGAAAAATCTCAGGTGAGGCCCCTTACACTGTAAAGAAAGGAGGTGTGACCGGAGGTGTGACAGAGGGTGTGCCTCTAGCGTCACCCTATAAAGTAACATTACATCAGGAATGGAGAGCAGGCAGAATGCAAAGTGTACTGCTCTCCCTTCTTACTCATTTGCGTACGATGGTGATGATTCACCACATGAAAATTATAATGATGCGCTATCATGGTTCTATTTTTTTTTTGTACGTAGGAGTATCAAGTGAGTATAATGAGAGTAGTATACTTATCACTACCTTTTTAGTGATTTAAACTCTTTCGTTGTTGTCTAAAAAGCTAATCAAAGCTAAGTGAATAAGAGATGGGCTAATTTTATATTTTATAATTTAAGCAACTCAAAAAAAAACCAGGCTTGTGAAATCTGCACAAACCATTTATTTGTGTAAATTAGATTTGAACTTTGTTCTCATATTCAAGTCCAAATTGAACACGAATTCGTCGTACTGAAAGTTTACACTAATAATTGGAATTATGTATTGTTCGATTCCATTATTTTCCATCCTGCTTTTGCACCGTACAGTCCACGGGAGGACGAAGAGGGGATGGGAAGGGGTAACCATTTGCTAGATTTGATCGAATGAAGAGGTAGAAGAGCTTTGTTGTTAAATGTTTTTATGGATTTTAATCGGAGGGGAGGGCAAATATTACTGCTCTCCACTAAATACTAACATATCTTATAGTGGTAGATAAAATAAATAATTAATTGGAAGATTTGAATTTTAAGCCATTATGTATTAGAAAAAGCCCCTTTATATCACACGTTAGCGTGTGATCACATGCGCGCTTTTTGTTTGGATCACTGCCGTCTAGTTTAAGAGATTATACTCTTTCAGTCTTTTGTCAGTTTGTGTTCTTTGTCTGCTTAAGAATTAAGAATGAGAAGCCAAAACAATTCTCGAATCCGTTGGGTAATGTATAGCAATATGAGCAAAGAGAATAGAGAGAAGACAATGAGCACTTAATCTTTCAATTTTTCTTTTTTCTTCACTTACAAATAAAATCTCATACCATCTACTTATAGGCATGTGAAAAGGAGATATTACATGCATCATATTTATGAGAATTTACTTGGGAATGTTAATAGACATCTACAATTAGTACTACTATAACTCCTTGAAATACCAATGAACATCTATAATAATAATATTATAACAATTATAACACTCTCCCTTGGATGTCCATTTATTCAATCAAGAATATGCCTCGTTAAAACCTTACTAGGTAAAACCCTATGAGAAAAACCCTAGTGAAGGAAAAAGAGTACATTATTCTTATCCATCATTTGAGGTAATACTTTGCTAGAAAGAAAAGAAAAAAAATACAATACTTGCTCCCCCTTTTGTCTACATCCTTATCTTGTAAGATCATCATTCGAGGTCCTTGAACCATCGTAGTCCAATTTTGTAGACTAGTTCCTAGAAACTCTTTGTAGGCAGTGACTTCGTGAATAAATCGGCGAGATTATCACTAAATCGAACTTGTTGAATATCAATAACACCATTCTCTTGAATATCATGAGTAAAGAAGAACTTTCGAGATATGTGTTTTGTTCTATCACCTTTGATATACCCCGTCTTCAATTGAGCTATACATGTTGTATTATCCTCATACAAAATTGTTGGTACCTCAATTTGAGAGGACAATCCACATGTCTTCTGAATGTGTTAGATTATTGATCTGAGCCAGACACACTCTCGGCTTGCTTCATGAATTGCCAGAATTTCTGCATGATTAGATGATATAGTCGCAATTGTTTGCTTGGTAGAACGCCAAGATATAGCAATACCACCATATATGAAGACATAACCCATTTGTGATCGTCCATTATGAGGATCAGACAAATAACCCGCATCTGCATATCCTACCAACTCTGATTTGGACAAATGAGCGTCCATTATGAGGATCAGACAAATAACCCGCATCTGCATATCCTACCAACTCTGATTTGGACAAATGAGAATAGTATAAACCCATATCCATTGTACCTCTATCCTACCAACTCTGATTTGGACAAATGAGAATAGTATAAACCCATATCCATTGTACCTCTAAGATATTAAAATATATGTTTAACCCCTGTCTAATGTCTTCTTGTAGGTGACGAACTATATATTGCTAATAAATTCACGACAAATGATATATCCGGTCGAGTGTGACTAGCAAGATACATTAGTGCACCTATTGTGCTCAGATATGGTACTTCAGGACCAAGCAGTTCTTCGTCATTTTTCTTAGGTCAGAAAAGATCTTTATTAATTTCAAGTGATCTCACGACCATTGGAGTACTGTGCCTTATCCATATAAAATCTTTTAAGTATCTTTGATATATAAGCAGATTGGTGTATAAAAATCTCATTCTTAAGATGTTCAATCTGTAAGCCGAGGAAAAATTTTGTTCTGCCAAGATTTTTCATTTCAAATTCCAGCTTTAGGCCATTTGCAGCCTTTTGAAGCTCTTCAGGAGTTCCAATGATCTTTAAATCATCAACGTACACTACAATAATCACAAATTGTGATTTAGATCTCTTTATAAAAACACAATGGCAAATAGGATATTATTATAACCTTGTTTCAACAAGTACTCAGTTAAGCGATTGTACCACATACGACCTGCTTGCTTTAAACCATAGAGAGACCTCTGCAGTTTTATCAAATAAAACTCTCTCGGATTAGAGTTATACTTTTTCAGGCAACTGTAATCCTTCCGGGATTTTCATATAAATGTCATTATCAAGTGAGCCATACAGATAGATTATGATTACATCCATGAGACGCATTTCAAGTTTTTCACAAACTGCCAAATTAATTAAATATCGAAAAGTTGTTGCATCCACCACAGGAGAATACGTCTCTTCATAATCAATATCGGGTCTTTGTGAGAATCCTTGGGCAACTAATCGTGCTTTATATCTAACAACTTCATTATTCTCGTTCCGTTTTCGCACGAAAACCCATTTATATCCTACAGGTTTTATACCAGTAGGTGTCTGAACAACAGGTCCAAAAACTTTATGCTTCGCTAGCGATTTTAATTCACAATCTATAGCATCTTTCCATTTCGGCCAATCTTCTCGATGTCTACACTCCTCCATAGACATTGGTTCAAGATCCTCATTTTCATTTATAACATTTTGCGCAACATGATATGCAAAAATATCGTCGACGATTATTTCATTTCTGTTCCATCGTTCCCCAGTCATAATATAATTGATAGAGATCTCTTCATTTTCTTTAATTTCAGGTACCCGATTCTCTTTCGGAACTAACTCATCTAGATGCTCACTGGAGAACTTTCTTGAGTAACATTTTCCTCAACTTGGTCATTTGTATGCTTTACTCCTTTTCTTTTACGAGGATTTTTATCTTTGGAACCGATTGGTCTACCACGCTTTATTTGTCCATTTATCTCATTAGCGGTGATAGGTTGTCCTTCAGGAACAACAATTTTGACAGGAGCATTTGCAGCTGGTATATGTGACTTAGTCACTTTTTTTGGGTCAGTAAACGCGTCTGGCAGTTGATTTGCTAATTTTTGTAAATGAATTATCTTTTGAACTTCTTGTTCACATTGTTTCGTGCGAGGATGATGGTGGGACAATGATAATTCATTCCAGCTAATTTCTTTTACCAGCTGCTTAATTTCCCCCCCTAATGTTGGGAAAAGTGTCTCATCAAAATGACAATCGGCAAAACGTGTCGTAAATAAATCTACTGTAGACGGTTCAAGATATTTAATTATAGATGGAGATTCATACCCAACATATATTCCTAACCTCCTTTGAGGTCCCATCTTCGTGCGTTGTGGTGGAGCAATTGGAACATAAACCGCACATCCAAAAATTTTTAGATGGGAAATATTTGGTTCATGACCATAAACCAATCGTAATGGGGAGAATTCATGATAACTTGTTGGCCTGACGCGAATAAGTGTTGCTGCATGTAAGATAACATGTCCCCATAAAGATATAGGAAGTTTTGCTCTCATAAGTAATGGTCTGGCAATTAATTGAATTCGTTTTATAAATGATTCTGCAAGGCCATTCTGAGTATGAACATGTGCTACAGGATGTTCAACGCTTATCCCGATAGCAGTACAATAATCATTGAACGCTTGAGAAGTGAATTCACCAGCATTATTAAGTCGTATAGTTTTAATCGGATTGTCTGGAAAGTGAGCTCGTAGTCGGATTAGTTGAGCTAGTAATCTCGCAAACGCCAAATTGCGAGTTGATAATAAGCATACATGTGACCATCTAGTTGAAGCATCAATTAAAACCATAAAATATCTAAATGGTCCACTTGGTGGATGTATAGGTCCACAAATATCACCATGTATGCATTCCAAAAATCCAAGGGATTTAGTTCCAATCTTAGCTGGTGACAGTCTAGTAATTAATTTGCCTTGAGAGCAAGCAACACATGAGAATTCATTTGTTTGTAACATTTTCTGATTTTTCAATGAATGTCCACATGAATTCTCTATAATCCTTTGCATCATAATTGAACCGGGATGACCTGACTGTTAATGCCAAACTATAACTCATTGTGATTAGTTAACTTCTGGTTTACTGGAGCACGTGCCTCAATTTTGCCAATATTTGTGTAGTATAAACCAAAAGAAAATGCAAGCTATTTTTCTAGTACGCTTTTCTTACCTGAAACAATAGTCGTAATATACAAATATTTGACATTGCCTTCATTTGTTGTCTCAATATGATATCCATTCTTGCGAATATCCTTAAAACTCAATAAAATTCGTTAAGACTTTTCAGAATATAAGGCATCATCAATTACAAATTTTGTTCCTCTAGGCAATATGATATGAGCTCTTCCGGAGTCTTCAATTAGGTTTGCACTGCCACAAATTGTACTGAAATTTGTTGCTTGCTTCTTTAAGTAGGAGAAGCATTTCAAATCCTTAGTATGTGTTGTTGCACTGTCGATGAGGCACAAATTTTTGTCATCAACAAAAGGTCCAATCGGAGATAATTCCATATTCATCATTGAAAGAGTGACATGCGCCAAAGCAAAGAAAATAAATAAATAATAAAATATAGGAAATGTAAAAAAATAAAAGTCATAACTCATATTGCACCTAAAACACATAAATATTGATTAAGATTTTTATTTTATTGCATAGATATTTATTTGATAGCATAAACATTACATAGATATTTATTTGATAATGTAAACATTCTGCTTATGAAAATATATTTATTTGATAGCATAAACATTACATAGATATTTATTTGATAATGTAAACATTCTGCTTATGAAAATAATATTATCATCCTTGAACATTATTGCATAGATATTTATTTGATAATGTAAACATTCTGCTTATGAAAATAATATTATCATCCTTGAACATTATTGCTATCAATCAAATAAGGAATATTTTCCTTCGGTTGGAGGAAAAAATCAGCAACATCCAGATGAGTGATATCATTAGAAGGATCACACTCAGTAACGAAATTTGTTTCCACCTTTTTCTCATTTTTTTAGTGATTCTTGATAGAGCTCAATAAAATGCTTCGGTGTACGACAGATACGCGACCAATGGCCCTTCATTCCACAACGATAACATGAGCTTTCCACTGAATTTTTGTTTGAGTCCTTGTTTGAGTCCCCTTTATCTTTCCCAATTGTCTTCTCATTTCTCTCCCACTTCAGGTGGCGAGATGAATTTTTGAAATAACCACCACGATTATCAAAACAACCTGAACGACCTCGACCACGTCCGGTTCCACGGCCACGACCATGACCACGACCTCGTGTTTGATTATGATGCTGATACGTAGTCACATTCACTTCAAGGAACGGAGCAGAACCAGTTGGATGTGCTTCATGATTTTTCATTAAGAGCTCATTATTTTGTTCAGCCACGAGAAGACAAGAAATCAATTCAGAATATTTCTTAAAACCCTTTTCACGATATTGTTGCTGCAGGAGCAAATTCGATGCATGAAAAGTAAAAAAAGTCTTTTCCAACTTATCCTCATCAATGACTTTTTCCCCACATAATTTTAACTGGGAGCTAATTCGAAACATAGCTGAATTATATTCACTTATTGTTTTATAATCTTGTAAACGTAAGTGCATCCAGTCATAACGAGCTTTGGGAAGAATAACCGTCTTCTGGTGGTCATACCTCTCTTTTAGGCTATTCCAAAGGACAAGGGGATCCTTTACCGTTAAATATTCCTCTTTCAGTCCCTCGTGAAAGTCGTGTCATAGGAAAATCATTACTTTTGCTTTGTCCTGATTGGATGCATCATTACCATCTTTAATTGTATCACCAAGGACATTAGCTTCCAAATGGATTTCAGCGTCAAATATCCAAGATAAATAATTTTTGCCCGTGATGTCTAATGCCACAAACTCAAGCTTTGCCAAATTTGCCATGATGCTATTATAAAAAATTAGTTAGTATATGATCAATTTATAGTTACAAAAATTCATAAGTATTTACAAAGAAACAAACAAGACAGAGTTGATAAATTCATAAGTATTTACAAAGAAACAAACAAGACAGAGTTGATAAGACGTAGTTGATGGCATGTGCATGCATCCAATAAATATGCAAAATAAAATATGAATAATCCAACTAGAAAATTAGATTAAGTACCCCTTTTTTTATTAGACTGACTGAAGACATGACGTTTTCTTTTTGAATTAATAAGTTATTTATATAAAATTGAGCATATGAAGCATGATAGATGATCCATAACAACAAAAAAAATCTTATATCTTGCATCGAATAAATTTAATATCAATGTAAAATTTTACATAATGAAAATCAAACCTTAACTGAACCAATATTTATATTAGTAAAATATATTAATCCTAGAAGAACCAAGAAAAGTTTCTCAATGCGCCAATATGTCCAAATTCTCAATCAATATAATATATAATATAAAGATTAGAAATCTTTACCTTAAAAACAAACCGTTGTGCCATAGCGGGATATAGTCTCGTGCTGATAACGTGTTATAAAGCTAATGGATAGCAATATGAGTAAAGAGAATAGAGAGAAGACAATGAGCACTCAATCATTCAATTCTTCTTTTTTCTTCACTTACAAATACAATCTCATGCCATCTACTTATAGGCATGTGAAAAGGAGATATTACATGCATCATATTTATGAGAATTTACTTGGGAGTGTCAATAGACATCTACAATTAGTACTACTATAACTCCTTGGAATACCAATGGACATCCATAATAATATTATAACAATTATAACAAAAACAATCCCCAAAACCAAGCATTTACTAAATCAAAAGGCACATCATTCACTAGGGAACATAAAAATTAATTAACCAAAATTTTAATTCAATTTAGTAATTTGAAACCAGTACTTAGCTTTTTTTTTCCCATGTAAACATGTTTTCGGGTTAGTTCTACAAAAGTACCACAAGTACTAATTCATAATCAAAATCCTGAAACATCTCTGTTTCAATATGGGACTAAACTGAAAACATGAATTCCATTGTCTATCACTTCCTTGCACACATCAAAATCATTGGGCATGAAGTAGTTCTTTTTTTTTTAAAAATCTAAGAAGTCCTTTATCAGTTGAGACACCAAAGTAATTACTCTAGATGAACTGTGCCAAATTGGCAAGCTGAGGAAGTCGAGTATTGAGCTGATGGAAGATTATGCTCATAATTCCAAATTCCTGTAGAAGCAATTTCAACAGCTCATCTCTCTGGTGGAACTGCTTCCGATCTCTTGCTCGTTTCCGTGGAAGGAAGAACCGAAGCATACTCTCAGAGTCTCGGATATATGAAGAACTGATCTAGGGAAGTATAGAAGACATTAGAAAACACAGAACGCGCTGTAGTCATGCAGAAAAATGAAAGAAAATCGACTTTAACGAAACTGAATTTATGATGCTCCATGTTCTTGCAACATACTATATCTCGTAAAGGGCAAGAATTAAGGGAAAAGATCTGTGGAAGTGAGATGAGGGATGCGATCTCGATGAAAACAATCTGTCTGTCACCGAAACTATAAGCTGTTCTTCCCAATTTTTGACCCAATTAATTTGCTTTATATAGTTGACCAGTTCTATAATGGTTTTCTTCTGTTAGCAACGGTTGTGAAGGTGTTTTCACAAAACATAAGGAGTCGAGTATTCTTCCATACTGCTTTCTTTTGTTCCTTTTGGCTTACTCCTCTTATAGTCCCATATTCACATTGAAGTTAATAAGATATAATTTCTATTTTTTTAAGAATATAAAGTTAAGGGTTTTTCTCATATTAGATCCTAATTCGTACAATAGTTTTGTATTAGACCCCCATATTTTTCATATTTGTAAATTATGTCCCCAAATCTTCATACACTTTTTACCCCCAAAACGAAGGTGTTATTTAATACAACTTGATGGATTTGGAAGTATAATTAAATATGGCAATGCTATTTAAAACAATTTAATGGAGCCTAACACAAAAATAGGATAGAATTTAGGGTCTAACATGAGAAACACCCAAAATTCAAAACACAAAGGAATCTATTTGTCAACTTGTACTGGGAATCTGGTAAATAACTAAATAAGTTTCAGGACTAATCCCTAGTTTTATTTGATACTATACGAAATTCTGTTTCGAGCATTGGATTAAATCCTCCTGTGTCCGATCTTCTATTGCTTGATGTTGCTCAGGGTGTAGGCCTTGATATTCATGAGGGTGTTGTAATCACACAAAGAGGACATATTTCAATGTGATTGCTGCATTTGTCCAGGTACGGCCTTATTATTGAAAATTGTTGTTACTGTCCATTTGGGCCGATTAAGAGATGTGCAAAACTTTGGTAATTAGCTGAATTCTCAGGAAATTATATGAACTGGAACCAATAACATACAAAGAAATAGACACTCCGCATCAAAGTCGACTGGACATGTGCTTTGGAAAATTACAACTGAAGTTGCAGTTGCAAGTTTTTGTGATTCCCTGAACCAAACAACCCCGAAATTGCATGTCCTTGGTCACAGGTGAATGCTCCATATTATATCTCAAGGAAACTTCAAAATTGGTTCTTTTTTCTATTTGCCTCACTTCTTCTCCTAAATGAACCTATTTAGCTCTTCCTGTGAATTGCACAAACTTTTGTAGTCTGTCTTTGATCCCATAAACATAGTACATTAGGCAATAGAACTTTTAATTTTGCAGAATGAAGACGGCATAGGTTGTTTATAAATTTGCATGAGTGTAATAATGTTGGTTTTTAAGTGAAAATCTGAATTGAGATTACATTAAACCTACTTAGCAAGGGAAAGATATGGCAGGGAAAAGAAATTTGAAATAAATTCAGGGAGAACATTTAAGAAAGGAAGAGGGAGAAAACAAAACAAGAAACATATAAGATAAAGCAATATAAAAAGAATACGAGTGATTTACTTGCAAAAATTGGCATATTGAAGGCATTTCACACAAGTTACTCTATTGTCTTAAATTCTAAACAGAATAAAAGACCATTATGCAGAATATAACTCGGCGAAAAGCGAAAAAAGACTCACTGGCTGATGGTCACAATGAAGAGATGAAATAGAAGTAATGCCCAAGGAAGCTACCACACTAAGAATGAAAACCGAGAGGCAAATCTCTGCTCCAGTGATGCAGCCTTGGCCTAAATAGAGCGATTGGATCATTGATTAATCTGACAGAACATAAAGCAGGTTTTCCCTTTGTTTTATAGACTTCAGTTAATTAGCCGAATTTCTGTAGAAGCTACCACACTAAGAATGAGAACCAAGAGGCAAATCTCTGCTTCAGTCATGCAAACTTGGTCTAAACAAGGTGATTTGATCATTGATTAATCTGACTGAACGTAAAGGGGATTTTCCCTTCATTTTATAGATTCATCTTAAGTACCCAAATTTGTGTAGTCCCCATCAGAACTGTATCTTTCAGTCAGAAGAAGTAGAAGCGCCTGGCAAATTCTGCATGCAAATTGCATCATAAGCATCGACGGTTAAACCCAGAACCAGGAAAGACTCCAACTCATCAACGAAGCGCTCTGTTCGCCCAAACAAAAAAGGCCTTGCAACATCAGAAATTAGTTCCCTAAACCGTTTGCGCTTATCCTCGGGCATCACATTTTTTATGTGATCTTGCTGCTGTCTTCTGATGAAATTCTCAATTGCTCCATGAATATGATGTACAATAATTTCCACATCCTCCTGTTGGGTGAGAGCCTGGATTTCCCTTCTCAACCAATTCTCAAGCCATATGTTTCTCCTAAGATACCTAAGAAGCTTCCAGTACAAATGAACATCAGATTCCTTCCTTGAGACTCTTGCATTGCTATTATACCACTGCAATCGAAATTGATGAGCACTAGAAAGATTGTTTTTGTCATGGCTCTGGCTTATGTAATGCTGCTGAAAATTTTCTCCATTGAAACCGTGAACTATAGAAAAATTTTCTGTCATGCAAAGAGGGCATTTCATTGAAGATTTAGCTTGAGAGTGCTTCTTGGATACCACATTGGACCATTGAACAATGCATCGGTAGCAAAATGAGTGGAAACATCGATCTAAATAGGCTTCTTCCTTTACTGGTTCAAGACAAATTGGGCAAGGATCAGGGCCCTTATGATCCTTGCTGCTACGAGATGCCATGAGCCGCGCCAATTTTTTTTTTTTTTTTTTACTTTTAATGCATGGCCAATTTCCTGCTAACCGTTCAACATGTTTCAAATAGAAGCTCAAGACCATGTCATGCAGCACCTGAAACTAAATTGTCTTGCAGCTGTGACGAAAATCCAATAGCCTATAAGAGAAATTAAAACTGATGGTTAAAAACATGCATGGAAATAGGCAATCCACTATAAAGAATAAGGATAGGAATCAAAGAAGACATCACGACCATTTTTACTGTTAACCATATATAGCATATCAAAAACAGATTAATGTCTAAGCAAGATGATTGGCAAAGCTATTAGAATGAAAATATATGATCAATCTGAAGGTAAATGAGGTTCCACACTATATCAAACAAGGCAGTTCCTAGTGTCCTGTGGTTGTCTGAGTGTTATACTATATCACTTGTTATGATTAGCCCATGATAACTTGTAGTGAAACGTAGTCTATTAACATAAACATATTTATCAACAACTATTTGCATTTTACCCTGGCTTCAAAAAAGTTGAATGATATGATTCAGCAGAATTCAGCATCTTTGTAACCATAATCCACAAGCAAATCTTTTGTTCTTTTAACTCTTCTGTGGGAAATTTAGTGATAGAAAACCTTCAGGGTTCAGAATGAAAATGACAGTCCTGGTAGAGCTCAATGGTGAAACTGCGACTTTGGTTAATAAGCATGCTAGACTATGCACGCTCAAAGGCACCAAACAGACAAAGGCATGTAAATGCTCACGCTATAAAGCTAACAGCACCACATCCTATAAGCTATATCAATCATCTGAAATTTGGCTATGGACGAAGAATACTATTTGTCTAACTTAACTATGATATCAAGTGATTCTAAGAATAGGTTGGGTACTACATCCTAGAAATGACCACTCTAGCTAACATGTACGCGTCGTTTTAATATGATAATGATAACAAAACCTTTCTCATCAGGAAACAAAGAAATACAACTCTGCGTATCAACTTACAATGAATTTGCATGATTGATTCAAATTAACCTAATGACAACAACAAGCCTAATGCTGAGCTTCCAGCAATCATGAAACTAACTGGTGCTAGCTGGTTAGTTGCTAGTTATTCTTGACTTTCATGTAATTTGTTTTTGAATGCAATCCAAAATGACTCATTTCAGAATTTTAAAGATAAAGTACTGTGTTCAGTTCCTTCGACATATACCCTTAAACAGGGACGTGGTACCTTTGGGTAAGAAAAATATTGCTCACAATTCAAGTACTAGAAAACAGCAAGCACTATGGTAACCACCTCTCACGAGAAACCGACTCGGCTATATTTCTCAAGTCATGCTGGAAAAATATTGTTCAATAAAACTTGAGACACGAAAACAAGCAATCTCAATGAAACTTGAGAACCTGCAATCAGGTTTTCAGTAAAAATAGGAAATCCTACAGTATATACGGATAGTGGTATCAGGATTAATAGTAATAGCCTCCGTGGCCTAGAAAATTAAGATCTAGCTGCAAAATTTAGTCAGAAAACCAAGCAAATAAGTAAAGGATAAAAAAGAACCGCAGGTAGAGTTACAATATGAGATCAACTCCAGGTTAAGTATAATGTTGAACTGCTGAAATCATCAGTACTCCAATCGCTAGTTAGCCCTCAGCAGCTCCAGGGTTTTGAGACTGAAATGAACAAATTTGGGAATTTTAAAAGATTCCACCTTCCACCTTCTTCAGTTGCTAACGGATTCCAGTGAAGCCTTAGCCGCCACTAATTATACATTCAACAATCAATATACCAATTCTAGGGTTCTGGATTTGGTAAAAACATAGACTTGATTTATGATTCGAATTGAAAAAAGAGCAAGAGATCTTAACATTAAGAACTTACTTTATTAGATTGCTGATGCGATTCGAAGACGATTAGGCAGCAATAACGTTAAGAATTTGTGGCGAAAGAGGGAAAAAAGAAAACCCTAGAAATCTCGACGACGATTGAAAGAGAGGAAGGAAAAAAAATTTGGACCATTTCTCGATTTGTGCGTGTCATCCTTGCGCAGGGGCCATGCTAATCTTCTCTGTATCGTTCCAATTTTATCAGATGTCTCCGAAGAGACAATGCTTCATCCCGCGTCTTTGAATATAAAGAGCTACTGTTTTCAACTCGTGGCCAATGTGGGACTAAACCAAATTCTAAACTTAATTACTGTTTTGTGATTACATTGCTTAGTTAAGTCGTAAGATCGCGAGCCCAACTGGCTCAGCGGCTCAGCCTGCTCCTGATCAATGCTAACTTGAGAGTTCAACTGTACAGAGGGGGCAATGAGATTTACTTTTTTCTTTTTTGCAATTAACTATACTTCAAAAGTGGTTCTATTAGTATTTGTTATACCTCGAAAATCATCATATCCTAAAACAGACATGTGGCGTAAGTGGTGGGATTAAAAGCAGAGTTCCGCACGAGCTTAGGTTGCCAACTAAGCCAACAAGTCCGCGCAACCTGGGTCCAAGACGAAATGTGTCATTGAGTTGGTCTTCATAGCGAAATCTGAGTCGAGTCGAATGGCGCCCTCAAGTCAGGAACACATAATGACTAGCGGTCTCTTTAAAAAATATTCACATTTAATGATGAACAGGTTAGCATCCTTATTCTATCATCCGTCAATGTCGCATTTAATGCATGATTAAGTATCATGATGACCCTCTGGTAGCAACGCCCCAAATCACGTCATTTTGTCATCATTACATTAATATTGTGAGTACAATTCTCTATCTACAAACAATCTGCTTCAGACATGGGTCAAGCAACGGCACAGTGTCAGATCAATCAATCAAATATATTACGCAAATACCCTTATTAACCTCCTATAAATAGCATGGTTTTTGCTATTTAGAGGTACGCGTAAAAAACCCCCAAAAGGCTATATTCTGTTCTTCTCTTTAGATTATTAAACTAGTCATTGACTTGAGTATAGGAGGGTTCACCGGAGGAAACTACCTCCGGAGCCTCCAACCTTTGTTGTTCTGCGCAGATCCTTGTAGCGTGGTATACCCTTCAAGACAATCAATCATTAGAGGAGACTAAGGGCCCCCAAAATCCTCCCTAAACCTCATACTAATTTCCGTACATAAACAGTATTTTTTGAAGTTGAAGTGCTTTCTCTGGGGTACTCCATAAATTTTCAAGTCGCATTTATGAAAATAGAATGCAAGTTTGTCTCTCAAAGAAGATGACTCTGCCCTTTATATTTCATTTATACAAAGTGGTCTTAAATTATAAACTTAGGAGTTAATAAGCATATGATGTATGCATGATTTAGAATCGTATCAGAAAGCTCCGCACCATGTGAAGTGTGAGTAGTTTAGTCTTTTTAGTGCCACCTGTTTGGCACAAATCAACCCCACACTAAGCAGAGTTCTCATAGAATTCCTTCAGCTTGAAGGATAAATTACATGAAAAGATAAGCTTTATATTTTTTATCTAATTATACTGAAGGAAATTACATGAAACTAACTTTACTCATTTGGATTTAAGAAGATCAAATGTTAAATTTTCACTTAGCCCATACACATATACTCACCTAGCCCGCTCATCACTTAGCCCGCTCAAAACCCACCCATTTAGTTAAATGGGTGTAATCGGGCGGGTTTATCTCAATTTAGACTAAATGAGTACTAAATGGGCAGTACCTACTCACCCATTTACCCGCCCGTATTCTCAAAACCAAAACCAAAACCAAAACCAAAACCCTTCGGGGCTGTTTGGTTCATGTTTTTTGGGGGGTAAAAGTGGGGAAAGCTGCCAAAAATGTCAGCTTTTTGGTAGCTTTCCCCCAAAATCAGTTTTTAAAGAGCTGATTTTGGTGGAAAGCTGTCAAAAAGCTGACATTTTTAGCAGCTTTCCCCACTTTTACCACCCAAAAAAGAGGAACCAAACAGCCCTTAAGCCAATGATCGATGATCCTCCGCCATCACCATGTGAGCTCCTCATCGAGAACAGCGAAGCGATCTCAACGAGATTCCCCTCTTTCTCCCTCTTCCCACTTGTAAGCAAACCTTAACCCCTAGTTTGCTCATTAATTTTATTGCTTTTAGGTCAAATTGAGTTTACTTATTATTCTACGATGATCTTTCATCCTCTGGCCATTCGTTCCCAGTTGGTGATGTTCGCCTCAGGATTCAGCATGTATTAATCTAGGGTTTGCCTTTTGTTCGTGTGAAATATTTGCATTTTTTTAGATTGAATTGAGAAATTGGAGAATGAAAAGGAGAAATTGAGGGGAAAGGAGGAATTTTGTTGACATCAAGACAAAACCCTAATTTTTAGACTTTGTTGAGGCTTCTCTGATCTGCTCAAGTTTATGCTTCATTTTGAGATCAAACATTAAAATTCTGTTGAATCTAGTGAAATCCGTGCAACTTACATATTTTTTTTAAGTTTAAAGTGTGAAATTGGAGAAGGAAGAGGAGAAAATGAAGGAAAAGGAGTACTTTTGTTGAAAATCAAACAGAACCCTAGCTGAGATTAACTTTGTTAATGTTTCATTCCATGGTCCAAATTTGTTAAAAATCAAATAGTAATAAGATTCCATCATTAACTTTGGAGGTGGGGGTGGGGGGGATACTCTAAAAATAGAAACTTGTTCAGGTAAAGCGAAAAAAATCCAGCAGGATGTGTCCAACAGGTGGAATTCTACGTTTTTAATGTTGGAGAGTGTTCTGAACTTTCATCGGGTATTTGAGCATTTGGAGTTCATTGATCCAAATTTCACTTTTTTGCCATCAAGTGAAGAATGAATAAAGGTTGAAAAAATTCCAAAGTTTTAAAAACCTTTTTATGAAGTGTCCACTCTTTTTTCTGGAAGTAAATATCCAACTGCCAACTTATATTTTGGTGGAGTGTTTAAGATTCAAAAATGCATAATGGAGGAGATGAAAAGTGATGATCAAGATATAAAATCCATGGCAAATGATATGAAAATAAATTTTGATAAATATTAGGAATGTTACAATGTTCATTTGCAGTCATTTTGGACCCTCAATACAAGGTAAAGTATGTAGAGTTTTTTTTTGAGAAATTGGGAGTTAGTTCTTATTATGTGTTGACTATCTTAGAGAAACCTAGAAGTATTTACAAAGAATATGAGTGAGCATCTCTAGGTACATTTGTAGCTGAGAGCAGTAGTGAAGAGAACTTTGGAGATGTTCCTAATAATGAGATGGCTGAGTTTTAACAGTTTGAGAGTCAATTATATTCAGTCAGTGGGTCCAAGTCTCAGTTAGAAGAGTATCTAGATGAAAAATTAGTCGGTTGGAAGAAAAATGATCATTTGAATGTTATCGAGTATTGAAAAGGCGAATGCGAGAAGCGTCCTCAGTTGTCGATGATGGCTTAAGATATATTGAGTATTCCTATTACTTCGGTGGCCTCTGAATCGGCTTTCAGCATTGTGGGTCGTGTGCTTGACAAGTATCGGAATCGTCTTCTTCCGGAGAATGCTGAAGCTCAAATTTATACTAGTTCTTGGTTAGACGGGATTCCTTGTGAGTTGCCTTCTTTTTTTTCTTTATTGATTTTTTGTATTGTTGTGGCCTACATATTTTATCATAGAATATTAATATTATATTTTCTTATTAAATGCAACTCTGGCAGACATTGAAGAAGGAAATTTATTAGTACATGATTTCAGTAATCTAGAGGTTTTTGAATCGAAAGGCGAAAGTGATTAAGGTAAGATTTTCAATCATGGATTTGATTAGCAAAATCTGAGGTTAATTTTGCAAATGTGTGAGGCCTGTACTTATTTATAAAAACAATAAACTCAACATTTTTTTAATAAATTTATCCAAATTTACTTGTTAGAAAAACTGAAACTGATTGAAAATGTTGGCGTGCGGTGACTGGAGGCGTGCGGTCACTCTGACTGTTTATCCAGATTTTTTTACAAATTTATCCAAATTAGTCATTTTCACGTTTAATGCGAAGTGACTGGAGGCGTGTGGTGCCGATGTGGTCCGATGTGTCTTGAAGACTGTTGGCGGCAGAGGAATGATGGTACTAATTATGCATTAAATGGCTTTTATTGTGAGGTGATCGGCTGTCAGAGTGCGTGAAGGGGCTCGAGGCTCGAGGTATTTTGTCGCATTTCTACTTGTCCGGTGGTCAAGAAGTATCGCTTTTGGAGTCGCATTCATAACATGTCGGTCGATCGGTCAGTCGAGTGGGGTGATTAAATAGTCGACTTAGCTAGGGGTCGACATGTAACACCCTTCGAGTCATCCTCACAAGATATCGGCGTGTCGAGTTGACTAAGCCTTTGGTTATTCAAGCTGACTCGATTATGCATAATGTGTGACACTTGTCTGCTATTGATTGGAGATTGTTTTTTAGCACAAAAAATGGCTATAACAATGGAGAATGATTGATAACGTCTCAATAAAAAATAAAACAGAAGGAATGAAAGATACTATTTTCTGAATATTTTATAGAATAGTTTTAAATAGAGTCTCTGCTGATATAGAGTCTCTGATAATTAATATATCAAAGGAATAATAGCTTTCCGGGACTTGGGATAACTATCAAACTTGAGATGATACCATCGATGAGTCTCTGCTGATGCAAATACTAAATTTGCCACGACAAACAACAACGCAAGCCACACAGTGAAATCCAAACCCCCACTGGCGACCAAAATCCCAGCATATATCACGATTTCAGAAAGATAATGCGGGCAAGAGACATATTCAAACCAGTCTCCATAGGGGATTACGTAGCCATTATCTCTTTTATTTTCACGCAAAGACCCAAGAATTTGATGACAACGAAGCTGATGTAACCAACCCCAGATAAAAATAGTAGACCCAATCCACTGACACCATCCCAAACAGATAAAAGGTTTCAATATTTCCTTCCATTTGAACTCAACCGGTAATTCAGTCGGCCCTTTGACTATGAATTCCGTCAATAGATGAACTGAATAACTCAATGCTTCCAGGGAAAATCTACCGGCAAGTGATAGAGGTGCTGCTGTATAAAAGAACAAACCAGTAAAGTAACCAAGGATGTGCATCCGAGCTGATGGGCTATAAATAAACACGCATTTTGACTCATATAAGCGTCTCAAGACTTGAGCTTCCAGCAATAAAAGAACAAATACGGTTCTCCAAGCCTTAATTCTGTGCCCAGCAGAAGTTCTATGGCCATCGCAATTATATGCATAGAGCCATGTTGAAAGGGCCAAGCATGTTGTTAACACCACAGCTAAGACATAGAAATGTAAGAAATATCTTTGAGGAATTGAGAATTTATCTAAAGAGTGCGAGGTTTTTCCTCTAGCAGCAAATGTTAAGAGCAAACTACGAAAGAAATCGAGAGATTTAATTGGAATAGATGCCACGAGTATTGGAAGTATTGCTGCAATCCAGGCAAGCCTCAAAAAAGCTGTGAATTCTAAATCCATTGGAGAAGCAGCTGAGAGCAAGTAAGATTGGAATTGAGGCATAATGTCATCTCATTAGCTGCACTTAAAAGAAGTGAGTTAATCTCAGGCAAAATCATGAATGGAGGCCGATACATAAAGAATTTTTTACTGTGCAATGTATATTCCGGCGTACTAAAAAATGTAATGATTTTTTTGTATGTTTTCATAATCATGTCAAGAATCTAGCTCTCTTGTTCATTTTATGGTTTAATTCTCTCTTGAGACCTAACAGAAGAGCAGAAACAAAACTACTGTGAATGATCCGCATAAGTAAGGAAAAACACCTATACAGACAATACCCCTACCATAGTGTAAGGAATAAGTAAAGAAAAGAAAAGATATGCATTTATTAGAAATTAAGAAGGCTGAGGAATCGCAATCTTTCCTGCCACTTGAACTTGCTAGCATTGCTTTGATTTTTACTAACAACTTTAATGTATATCAACAGAAGATTCTTAAGTCATAACCAAAAAGCAAGTATAAAACTGGCAAGTTTGTATCTTTGTTTTTGTAGAGAACCGGTTTTCTCAAATAATGAAGGGGGGAAAAAGGAAAATCAAAAGTTTCCTACCTGATGCAATAACTTTGGTTAATAAGCATGCTAGACTATGCACACTCAAAGCACCAAACAGCCAAAGGCATGTAAATGCTCACGCTATAAAATTAACAGCACCACATCCTATAAACTATATCAATCATCTGAAATTTGCTATGGACGAAGAACACTATTTTCGAACTTAACTGTGATATCAAGTGATTTTAAGAATAAGTTGGCTACTAATCACCACTCTAGCTAAAATGTGTGTATTGTTGTTTTAATATGATAAAGATAACAGAGCCTTCTCATCAAGAAACTAAGGAATACAACTCTGTGTATCAACTTACAATAGATTTGCATGATTATTCAAATTAACCTAATGCCAACAACATGCCTAATGCTGAGCTTCCAGCAATCATTAAACTAAGTGGTGCTAGCTGGTTAGCTGCTAGTTATACTTAACTTACATGCAATTTGTTTTTGAATGCAATCCAAAATGACTCAATTCAAAATTCTAAAGTTAAAGTACTATGTTCAGTTCCTTCAAAATATACCCTTAAATGGGGATATGGTATCTTTGGATAAGGAAAATATTGCTCACAATCCAATTGCTAGAAAACAGTATGCACTATGGTAACTACCTCTAGCGAGCAACAGGCTCGGCTATATTTCTCAAGTCATGCTGGAAAGCAATGTTCACGAAACGAACGAAGAGGAACTACCGGATCATATTAGTTTAATAACCTATAACGAGACACAAAACAAGCAATCTCAATGAAACTTGAGAACTCGCAATCAGGTTTTCTGTAAAAATAGCAAACCTTACAGTACATGCGGATAAAGGTATCTAGGATCAATAGTAACCGCCTCTATTATCTAGTCTCCTTGGCCTAGAAGATTAAGATCTAGCTACTCTATAAGTGCTTCAAAAATGTTAACCAAAATTGAACTCAGTAATAAATGAAAGATAAAAAAAGGACGGAAGGTAAGGCTACAAGATGAGATAAAGTCCAGGTTAAGTATAATGTTGAACTGTTGAAATCGTCAGTACTCCAATCTCTAGTTAGCAGCTCTAGGGTATTGAGACTGACATGAACAAAATTGGGAATTTTAAGAGGTTCCACCTTCTTCAATTGCTAACGGATTCCAGTGAAGCATTTGGGGACGCTAATTATACATTTAACATTCGATGTACCAATTCTAGGGTTCTGGATTTGATAAAACAATGGTCAAAGAAATGAAAAAAAAAACCATCTAAATTCATTATTAGAATCATAGATGTGATTGTATGTTCAAGTTAAAAAAAAAACCAAACCCCAGAATCTGCACGATGAAGTAGAGAAAGGATTTGAAAAAAAAAAATTGACGATGACGAAAAGAAAAGGGAAAGAACAAACCCTAGAAATATCGACGACGATTGAAAGAGAGGAAGGAAATAAAAAAAAATTTGGACCATTTCTCGATTTGTGCGTGTCATCCTTGCGCAGGGGCCATGCTAATCTTCTCAAAAATTTGGACCATTTCTCGATTTGTGCGTGTCATCCTTGCGCAGGGGCCATGCTAATCTTCTCTGTATCGTTCCAATTTTATCACTTGCGCAGGGGCCATGCTAATCTTCTCTGTATCGTTCCAATTTTATCAGATGTCTCCGAAGAGACGATCCCTTAAGCTGCGTCTTTGTATATAAAGAGCTACTGTTTACAACTCGTAGCCAATGTGGGACTAAACCGCACTTCTAAACTTAATTTGAGATTAGTGTTTTATGATAACATTGCTTAATAAAGTGGTAAGATCGCGAGCCCGACTGAGGCTGAGCCTGCTCCTGGCCAAATGAGTATACTTTAAAGTAGTTTCATTATCACTTGATTCAATTCTCACTTACCAAACTTAAGCCTAAGTCTTTCGTGTGACTTCTTGACACATTGGTAACAAAATTATGACTAAATGGCACCAAAGAGAATAAATGAGATACTGAAGGTTGTGCAATCTATGAGCATTGAGCAAGCGTTTGGTTGTACCATTTTATTTGGAATAAAACAGCAAAACAAACAGTACAAGCAAAAAGCAAATAGTCTTCTTCCCTATTCGCAATTTCATAACATTATACGATTATGATAATAAAGTACAAACGTTTGGCAAAATAATTAAGCTAGCTCCATTATCGCCTACTCTCTTCAGTTCCTACCACCACTCTGAAATGCGAGTCTGATCAAAATAACACCCTGAAGATTCATCTGCAGGTGCCAAGCCAACGTTACTGACAATAGCTCCTTCAGTGCTAGTTATCCCTGTATTAAGTTATAAATCGGTTTTAACAAACCCCGGCTGCACACAACTAATATACATCTGAGGATACTCTTTAGCAAGAATTCTTGTACATGCAATGGGTGCCACCTTTGACATGCTATACATCGGTATCATAGTTGGCCATCCGCTAGATTAAAGTTTATCGTATTTCATGTCCTCCCAAAATATTTTCTCTATATTTTCCATACTTCCTCCGTTCACATTCTCAATATTGTTAAGCTTGTCTGCGATCTTCTGATTGGGTTTCTCTGTACGAGTTAAAGAAATAGTAAGTAGATCATATTTTCTGATTGCAAGGGCATAAGTGAAGTTGAAGTACATAAATTTTGTACCTTGAGGTCTCCTCTGAGAGAAGAGAGGATGACAATTCTAGGAACTTTAGTGGGGCATTTGAGAAGAGGAAGGACAGCTTCTGTGACTCTTTTGCATCTGTAGTAATTTGTATCGAAGCTTGTGAGATCATCACTGCAGGTGAATCTGATGAATCCTTGAACTATATTGGCCGCCTTTCCCGAAAGCTGCAATAATAAGACTTGAAATCATCATTTTCGGTTTCAGAACTCCAAACACTTGCTCAATGAATTTAAGATCTCATCTCTGGTGGTTCTTTTCAGTAACATGATAATCAATACCTTTCTGCGCGAGCCAGCATAAAATTTGAAGGTCGATTTATCCCTTTGTTGGCTGCTCAGATCGGAGACTGTTGGGTCCTTGGAGATGCTTTCCATGTCTTCCTGCTTCTGTTGATAGAAGAACAAGAGCCTACTCTTCAAGTCTCCGATATATGACAAAATAAAAGAAATAACCTACGAAAATATTGAAATGAAGAAAATTAAAGCGCAGGTTGAATGCTTCTTCAATTTTTCCAACCAATCAGAGAACTTGCAGTATATACTAAGAAAAATGAAAATTATCAACTTTAAAGAGATGATTGTAGGATGCAACTTGTGCTTGCAATATTTAAGGCACGTAAATGTAAACTCGTTTCAGGTTTAATTCCCCAATTGGTCGCATGTAATATGCTTTCCAGGTTTATAATTTACTGATAAAACTGATCAAGTATTTGTCCTCTTTCCTCTTTATAATTCCAAATTTACATTGAAATTAATAAAGTCCAGTTGCTAATATTTTCAAAAAATTAATCTTCAACTTCATAAGGGATCTATTTTTGTCAACTGGCGTTGGGAGTTTGTAACGCTTATTGGGTAGCTTTACTTGGAAAAACATCACCAATAAGCTGAGGAACCACGATAAACTAATGTAAGAAATCACAACATCCGATTCCGATATGTGCCTATAGCTTGCGTGGTTTATGGGTATGATATTGGATGTTTCTAGAACCCGAACAGTACCTAGCATTTCAGCATGAATATTGTACTCATCCTGGTTCCATGGCACTATCAATGAGATTGAGGCTGACACAATTGATTGTAATAAGGGTGAAAAAGAGCCATCAATCATAATTGGTTCACGCTTCATATTCATAATACATGACAAGTAAATAGAAATATTAATAATAAACGCCCTTTAACAAGAGGTTCATACCGTTAAATTTTCTCATACGTTCATATTTACAGTACAGTGAATCTAAGAATGTGGTGCACAATGGCAATGACTTTCATGTTATCCATGTATTATTAAACAGGCACAGGCAAATGGGCAAAGGCAGTGCACAATTTTCTTGTGATAACATTTACCTTGGGGTTAATTGGAGATAGACCCCCGTAGTATCACCTCATTGCGGATAGACCCCTTATAGTTCTAATTGTGTGTGGATAGACACCCTGAGTGACTTTTTTTTTTAAATTTTAAAGTTTTGTTAGATGTGGACAGACCCCTGTAATTTTATTGTTGCGGATAGATCCCCTTGTAGATTTATTGGTGCTGATAGAACCCAATTGCTAAGTTTTTAATCTTAAGCGAGTCATTTCACTGAGGGGGTCTATCCACACTTGGGCAGATAGTACAGGGGGTTCTTCCGCACAATTACAACTATAGAGGGTCTATCCGCAATTGGGTCATACTATATAAGGTCAATCCGCAAACAATATGAGTAATTGGAACTCAACCAAGCCATTATTGCTTGGTTATTAGAGGGCAAAACTATGTCAAATCCACGTGAGCATTTCACTGATGCAACAATTTCAAGATGAGATGCTTTTAAATCAAACACCGGCACAGGAATGCCTTCACGAAATGCATAGTAGTGATTTAGTGGTGGCCATTCAAAACAAAAAAAAAACTTTTTGTGAAGCAGCGCAATCAAGAAAACCAAAATCGAATTCAAATCACACTTATGATGTAAAGCCTATTTACTTAAATAGGGAAATTTAGGCATCAAGAAGAAAGCAATGAAATTTGTCCTCCCCAAGTCATCTTGGCTATCAGAGGTCTCAGGCTTCAGTTTGCAAGAAGACTAAACCACACAATGCTTAGGGGAAACTTTTAAAATGACTGCTCCAAACCATTGGTCTCTAGGTCTCTAATGTACTGTAGTGCTCTCTTTGACACCCTACACAACTTGTTTCACGATTCTTTTAGTTTTGTCAGTAACTGGAAAAAAAAATCGTTAACGACAGGGAACCGTGTACTCCATTTTCTAATCAACTTGACCAAAATATGGTATAGAACTAGATAAAGGCTGTCATCTTGATTTCCCAACATTTCTCTATTTCCTATTCATACCTTGGTTTCTCTCTTTCTCGAAGTGTTTAACTGAAGCCAAATTCCAATTGCATCGTACATCAATTATTCCCCCAATTGTTTCTTCTCACCGCTTCACATAATTTTTAGCATGGTAAGAAATGGAATCGAATCTGGGTTTCAATGGGTTTGATGCATATCATACAGCTGTGATGGATCGTTTCTAAGGTTTAGCCCCAACCCCCCCAAAAAAAAACAACCCATTTCTCATAAAGCACCCCACAAACACTCACACACACACACACACATTGAAGTATCAAACTCAAAAAACTTTAACCGACACAGAGTGAGACTTGGATGGCAGAATTTACATGACCTGGCAAGGTGATTAGTTTAAGAGGACTTCCTCAATGATTACTACTCATGAGCCAGTTTGCTTCATTTAATTTGCTCAACAGAGAATAACTTTTCTCTGAAGACTTCAGATCGACCAAACTTAAATTAACCTAGTAGAAAACACAACTTTAGATTTATAAGCAATGTTGTATAGAAGTGATTATTGATCCTACCAGAAAAATGTTGAGCTATCAGAACATAAGGGTGAAAAAGGATAGATTCTTCAACATAATTTAAACAAAAAGACCCACCTAGTTTCATCATACTTTCCAGTTAAAACATTCTATCTTCCTGTTGAACTTCATATACTTTTGATTTTATTCATCTAATTTTGCAATATGCTACCATATAGCTCTATAAGGCTGTTTTACTTGTACCTTTACGAAGATTAAGTAGATGGATCCATCTGTTCATATAAAGTGAAACAGAGCACCTACTACCCGCGTTTTCCCTAAACAAATCTACTTAGCTACTTTTCCGCGAATGCACAGATTTTCTTAGTACTGATTCTATGGAAACTGATACTTCTGATGCAATAATAAAACCTGGAAGTGTAGGGATTGAAGATGGCAGAGATTATTTATAGATTGCATTAAAGTATAAAAATGTTAGTGTTTAGCTGAAAAGCCCGAATGTTATTGAGTACAAGGGTTTTGTTAAACCTACTAGCTGGAAAAATATGTTAGGAAAAGGAAATCTGAAGTAAACTCATGCAGGACATCTAAGAGGGAACAAATCTCACTGATATTCTCACCTTCATATTCACAATGAAGAGTGCCAAAGGGAGCTAGCACACTAAGAATGAGAACCAAGAGGCGAATCTCTGCTTCAGTGATGCAGCCTTGGCCTACGTAGATTGATTTGATCATTGACAAATCTGCCTGAACACAAGGAGATTTTCCCCTTAATTCTATAGATTCCTCTTAAGTTGCCACATTTCTGCAGTCCCAATCAGCACTGCATTATTCCGTCAGCAGAAGTAGCACTGCCTGGCAAATTCTGCAAGCAAACTGCATCATAACCATCAATTGTTAAACCGAGAACCAGGAAACTTTCCAACTCATCCACGAAGTGTTCTGTTCGCCCAAACAAAAAAGGCCTTCTGACATCAGAAATCAGTTCTCTAAATGCTTTGTGCTTTTCCTCGGGCATCACATTCTATATGTCATTCTGCTGCTGCTTTCTGAAGAAAGTCTTAATTGCTCCTTGAATATGATGTAGAATGATTTCCACATCCTCCTCTTGAGTGAGAGCCTGTATTTCCTTGTTTCAACCAATTCTCAAGCCAAATGTATCTCCTAATATGTCGACGAAGCTTCCAACACAGACAACCATCAGATTCATTCATCAGGGCTCTTACATCAGTCTAATATCACTGCAGTCTAAATTCATGAGCACTAGAAAAATTGTTTTTCTCATGACCTTGGCTAAAGTAATGCTGCAGAAAATTTTCTCCGTTGAAACCGTGAACTACAGAAAAAGCTTTTAGTCTTGCGAAGAGGATATTTGGTTGAAGATAGAGCTTGAGAGTGCTTTTTGGAGACCACTTTGAATCATTGAACAACTGGTAGCAAAATGAGTGGAAACAACTATCTAAATAGGCTTCTCCCTTTACTGGGTCAAGACATATGGGGCAAGGATCAGGGCCCTTGTGGTCCTTGCTGCTACAAGATGATGCCACGAGTTATATCAATTTAATTACCTTTAATAAATGGTCAATTTCCTATTAAAGTTAGATGCTAATTCCATTTCCAGCAGTCACCCACTTACAGCAAAAGGATCCACATGTTTGGATCAAGACCATGTCATCAGAAGTAATTGTCTCTACAGCTCTGTAAAACACCCAAAAGCCTATAAAAGAAATTAAATTGAGGGTTAAATATACAAGCATGCAAATGGAAATGCACTGAAAAGAATAAGGATAGGAATTGAAGAAGAATCGAGGACATTTTTGTTATTTATCATATATACCATATAAAAAAACGTATTAATGTATAAAGCAAGATCACTGGTCAGAACCATAAGAATGAAAATATCTGCACTATCCGACAAATCTAACGGGGTTCCACACTGTAACAGATAGGGCACTTCAAGTGTCCTGTTTGTCTGACTGCCATCAAAGCTCTAATCAGTTCTTTTGCTAAGGCCACGATAGCTAGTAGTAAAAC